AGAATACTCATTGCAAAGTATTGGAAGACACAAGAGCTACCCACACTGGAGGAATGGCAGATGAAACTGATGGACTATATGGAATTGGCGGAAATGACTGGCAGAATCCGTGACCAGAGAGAAGAGTCGGTGGAAGAAGATTGGAATAAATTCAAAGATTACCTACAGAAACACTGCAAAATTAAAGAATGTTAGAATGATGTTGGATAGAAATTAAGTGGTTTCTAGCTGTACAGGCTTTAAAGTTATATACAGATCAAGATTAAGGATCAGGATTAAAAAGGTCAAAAGAATGGAAAATTGGCTATTAATAGATAAAAATTTAATGTTATATTATATTGAGATTAAGGATTGGGATTAAAAAGGAGGGAAAGGAATTGCTGGACAAACAAACTAAATTGGAATACAAAAGAGGGAGGTATGAGGAGGTCCAGAAAATAAGTAAATTTAAAAGTAGTGATAAAAAGATGGAATTGTTTTTAACTGTTTTTTTCGTTTTTTTCTTTTTTCTTTCTTTCTGTATTTTGTATTGTGTATTTTCCTTTTTACTTTTAAATTCTTGTTTTTATTGATGTGTTTCTTTTTATCTGAAACTTTAATAAATATCTTTAAAAAAAAAAAGAATATGTGTAGCTTGCGGACCTAACATATAGAGTAAGAGAACAAGAAGAACATATGTTTAGAGAAGATTGGAAAATGTTTATTGAATACATGGGGGGAAATTGTATACACTTGAAAACTTTGGCAGCATTAAGATAAATTCAACAGTGTAAATAAGTTTTGATGGATGTAATAATGGAATACTGAATGGTTTGGTTTATGGAAAATATGAAGGGATTTATGTTATGCAAAATGAGCCATGGAAAGAGAAGAAACGAAGTCATTGATATTTTAAGGTTGTTTAAATGAATACTCTAAGTTGTAAAACTGAAAATTTTATAAAAATTACATATATAAAAAGAAAACTGATTTCTCTCAATACAGACAATATTAGGCTAGATGGGCCTGTTTCATGCTAAAAGCAATTCCTTATGCTCTACAACAGAAGAAAAGAAGAAGAACTGGATTAGGCCCATGACACATCTTGTCCACCATAATGTTTTTATAGTGTCCAGCCAGATGTCTATGGAGAGCTTGGAAGCAGGACCTCAGCACAACAGCACCCTCCTCTCCTGTGGTTTCCAGCAAATGATATGCAAAAACATACCATTCTGCCGAAGTCCAGTGGGACTACTCCTTCCGTTGGAGGATGCTTCTTCTGTCAAAAGAAGGGAATGTCTTTATCCAACCCACTACAGTCTGCATCCCATGTGCTTTGTGAGTGACTTTGGTAGGTTCTGAGTGTTAGAATTCCTGCTCCATGATTGCAGTCATGGGATTGTTGTCTTTCACATGACGGTATATGTTTTGACTCCATAGTGTGGGAAGTGACGGAGACAGGATGTTTGTGTTACTGTGTTCCGTGAAGTGGGACTATTGTCCTTTCTCTTTGCTGTCTGATGCTAGAGAGAGAGGGAGCCATGTTGCAGTGCTCCGTGTGTGTTTATATGTACCGTATTTTTCGCACCATAGGACGCACCGGACCATAGGACGCACTTTGTTTTAGGGGGGGGAGAACAAGAAAAAAAAATCTCCCCCTCTCTGCCCAGCGCCCCTTCAGCGAAGTGTCAGGAGGCGCTGCGCAGTGTGGGGGGAGAACTTTCACCCTCTTGTTTTCCCGCTCTAAAACAAGGTGCCGTTTAAGGTGCGTTCAGGCAGCAACCTTGGAAGCCTGGAGAGCGAGACCCCTCGCTCTCCAGGCTTCAGGTTCCTTTCGACCTGCTCTTTGGGGCTGGCGGGGGGAAGCCCACCGCCAGCCCCAAAGAGCAGTTCAGGGAGCAGCGGAAGGCAAAGCGGAGAGGCTCCTGCCATAGCCGTGCGTCACCTCTCCAGCCGGGAGAGGGTCGCTGGGCTATGGCTTGCTAGCCTCGCGCGCTCTCCCGGCTGGAGAGGTGACGCGCGGCTATTGAGGCTCTTGCCATAGCCTCCCGTCACCTCTCCAGCCGGGAGAGCGCGCGCGGCTCTAAAGCAGCCCCGCACGCGACCCTCTCCCGGCTGGAGAGGTGACGGGAGGCTATGGCAAGAGCCTCAATAGCCGCGCGTCACCTCTCCAGCAGCCCCGCGCGCTCTCCCGGCTGGAGAGGTGACGCGCGGCTATTGAGGCTCTTGCCATAGCCGCCCGTCACCTCTCCAGCCGGGAGAGCGCGCGCGGCTCTAAGCAGCCCGCGCGCGACCCTCTCCCGGCTGGAGGGTGACGGGCGGCTGTTGAGGCTCTTGCCATAGCCGCCCGTCACCTCTCCAGCCGGAGAGCGCGCGGAGCTAAAGCAGCCCCGCGACCCTCTCCCGGCTGGAGAGGTGATGGGCGGCTATGGCAGGAGCTTCTATAGCCGCCCATCACCTCTCCAGCAGCCCCGCGCGTGCTCTCCCGGCTGGAGAGGTGACGGGCGGCTATGGCAAGAGCCTCAATAGCCGCGCGTCACCTCTCCAGCCGGGAGAGCGCGCGCGGGGCTAAAGCAAGAGCCTCAATAGCCGCCCGTCACCTCTCCAGCCGGGAGAGGGTTGCGGGGGGCTGCTTTGAAGGGAAAAAAGTGCGTCCTATAGAGCGAAAAATACGGTAAATAAAGTAGATTAGCCAAAATGCTGAGTTGCTGAGGTCTGCCACGCGAATTGCACAGACTCTGCAGATCCCTAAGTGTGCCGATGTCTGTTGGCATTGGTCGCTGTGATGTTCGGGCAGAAGAAAGCTTTTGAAGCTCCTGAACAAAAGACCAGGAGGGAGAGAACATGCCAGTCAGGCATGTGTCTCTACCAGGGTCCTACTCGAATGTAGGCTGAGCTCATGACACTCTCCACCCCTTTCATAATGTGTAATGATGGTCAGTAGCATCGATAAGCATTAGACATATTCATAGAGGATGAGTCTTTCAAATAGATATGACAAATGGCAAGGCAAATGGATCCCCCATTATTAAAGACAGTGTGCCGCTGACAGATGCTCTGTGTGCCTTTGCTTCTCAATTTGTATTGTGCTATTTTATGCACCGTGACTTGCTGTTATTTTTATTGGTCATAATTTAGAAATTATTTATTGTAAGAGTGAATTTCTGTTCAATTATTATTTGCTGATATTTAATTTTATGGTGTACTATTACATTCCAATGGATCATTGAATATTACTTCATTTGACATAAGTTGTTTATTTTAAATGTATGCTTTTATTATGACATCTTTGTATTGGGTCAGATTGTTATAAGGTGCGCGGTCTTTGTTGTTTCTTCAGCTTGTAAACTGCCTTGTGTATAGTAATAAATAATGATGATGATGATGATGATGATGATGATAATAATAATAATAATAATAATAATAATATTTATTTATACCCCGCCTTCCCCAGCCAAGGCCGGGCTCATGGCGGCTAACAAGCAATAATAAAAACAAGTTGAATGAAGGCAACTTAAAAACAAGATTAAAATACAACATTAAAATATTAAAATGCAGCCTCATCACAGGAGGAGAAAGGAAAAAGAAAGAGGGGGAGGGAATCAAATTGGCTCCAAGCCAAAGGCCAGGTGGAACAACTCTGTCTTACAGGCCCTGCAGAAAGAAATCAGATCCTGCAGGGCCCTGGTCTCATGAGACAGAGCGTTCCACCAGGCCGGAGCCAGTGTTGAAAAGGCACTGGCTCTGGTTGAAGCTAATCTAACTTCCTTAGGGCCTGGGACCACTAGGTTGTTGCTATTTATGGACCTTAAGGTCCTCCATGGGGCATACCGGGAGAGGCGGTCCCGTAGATACGAGGGTCCTAGGCTGTGAAGGGCTTTAAAGGTCAAAAACAGCACCTTAAATCTGACCCTGTACTCCGGGAGCCAGTGCAGCTGGAAAAGCACTGGGTGAATATGCTCCCATGGCAGAGATCCCGTGAGGAGCCTCGCTGCAGCATTCTGCACCCGCTGGAGTTTCTGGGGCAGCTTCAAGGGCAGCCCCGCGTAGAGCGAATTACAGTAGTCAAGCCTGGAGGTGACCGTCGCATGCATCACTGTGGCCAGGTCGGGGCGGAAAAGGCAGCATGCAAATAAAGAAAGGCGGCATACAAATTAGAAGCGAAATGAGATGCTAAGGATTTACAGCAAGGCATAGCAAGGCGTCTTGGTTGACCACAAACTTGACATGAGCCAACAGTGTGACGCGGCAGCTAAAAAAGCCAATGCAATTCTGGGCTGCATCAATAGGAGTATAGCTTCTAGATCAAGGGAAGTAATAGTGCCACTGTATTCTGCTCTGGTCAGACCTCACCTGGAGTACTGTGTCCAGTTCTGGGCACCACAGTTCAAGAAGGACACTGACAAACTGGAACGTGTCCAGAGGAGGGCAACCAAAATGGTCAAAGGCCTGGAAACGATGCCTTATGAGGAACGGCTAAGGGAGCTGGGCATGTTTAGCCTGGAGAAGAGGAGGTTAAGGGGTGATATGATAGCCATGTTCAAATATATAAAAGGATGTCACATAGAGGAGGGAGAAAGGTTGTTTTCTGCTGCTCCAGAGAAGCGGACACGGAGCAATGGATCCAAACTACAAGAAAGAAGATTCCACCTAAACATTAGGAAGAACTTCCTGACAGTAAGAGCTGTTCGACAGTGGAATTTGCTGCCAAGGAGTGTGGTGCAGTCTCCTTCTTTGGAGGTCTTTAAGCAGAGGCTTGACAACCATATGTCAGGAGTGCTCTGATGGTGTTTCCTGCTTGGCAGGGGGTTGGACTCGATGGCCCTTGTGGTCTCTTCCAACTCTTTGATTCTATGATTCTATGATTCTATGATTCTATGATTCTATGATTCTATGAAACAAAATGGCCATCACATCATAGGAACAAAAGAAGCTGTCTTACATCAAGTCAGACTATTAGTCCATCAAGCTCAGTATTGTCTGACTAGCAGTGGCTCTCCAGGGTTTCAAGTTGCCTGATGTGGAAATGAGGGAAATTGAACCCGGGACCTTCTGTGTGCAAGCCAGACGCTCTCCCACTGAGCTACAGCTCTGCGGTGAACATCCCAAGGCATTTGATACGCCACCACTGGAGACAGAGTTCTGCACTAGATAGATCTTTGGTCTTACCCAGCAGTGATGTTCTTAACACTCTGATTAGTGTTCCCAGGGAGGTGTATTATGTTCATGAGCCCTGATGGCAGGTCTTCCCCTTCCTTGTATGCCAGCTTAGCTAAGCAGCTCAGGGAGGAATAATAATAAGCTTCTCATCATCTGACACAACAGAGGAAGAAAGCCTTCTCTTCTTTGCTGTTTCATTCCATTCCAGCACTTACAAGTGTTTGCCTTCATTTATGTCACCCACCATAATGGCAATTCGTCACTTGCTTTTGTCACCTCTGCAATATATATATATATATATCCCTTTGTTTTATCAGTGTTTTCTAAGGTGCAAACCTGACTGCTGAACATTTCCCTCGTTCATTATCGGTCTTTTGTGATTGTTTCTCCTGCAAGCTGCTGACATGTTGGTTCACTTACGGTAGCGACTCGTTTCTTGCATTCCTGCAGGTTAGCCAGAAAAGTGCAAGTGAATACACCCACTTCTAGTGAGCAATCCAAGCCAGGGCACAGGAGAACAGCAGGAAAGCAAATTGCATGTGCCCCATTATTATATTAGATGCAGTAAGTGGTATTCAACTAAGTTTCACTCAGAGTAGATCCATTGAAATTTAGTGAGCATAAATAAGTTAACTCCATTCATTTCTTTCTGGAAAAAACGTTTCCATTTATTTAAATGGGTCCGCACTCTGTAAAAAATAGCTGAATACCACCCAGTCAGATTATGTATAGTAAAGGTAAAGGGACCCCTGACCATTAGGTCCAGTCGTGACCAACTCTGGGGTTGCGCGCACATCTCGCTCTATTGGCCGAGGGAGCCGGCATTTGTCCACAGACAGCTTCCAGGTCATGTGGCCAGCATGACTAGGCTGCTTCTGGAGAACCAGAGCAGCACACAGAAACGCCGTTTACCTTCTCGCCGGAGCGGTACCTATTTATCTACTTGCACTATGACGTGCTTTCGAACTGCTAGGTTGGCAGGAGCAGGGACCGAGCAACGGGAGCTCACTCCGTCACGGGGATTTGAACCGCCAACCTTCTGATCGGCAAGTCCTAGGCTCTGTGGTTTAACCGACAGCGCCACCCGCGTCCCTATTATGTATAGTAGAGCTCTCCAATTTCAAACAAAATTGCAATGCCTGAGAAATTTCCACCAGTGTCAAATGGAATCATAAAGCAGATTTCTCAGTGGAACACATGCATGCTATACCCCTTTCCTGGAATTTATGATGATTTTAGAACTTGGTGTTGAAGAACTTCAGTATCCTATATACCAGTGTTCTGCAAGCTGGGGGCATCCACATGCTGTTAGACTCCAACTCCCATCAGCACCAGCCATCATGGACAATAGTCAGGGATGATGGGAGTCTAGACAACATCTGGGGGGTATGAAGTTGGGGAAGGCTGATATATACTACTGATGAAATCATTCACTGAGTACGTGCCTTAGGTAGCGTTTAGGCACCATCCGGAAATGAGAGTGGTACCCATATACTCAGAGGAACTGTGTGGTTTGTAGAACTAACCCCCCAAAATGCTTGGGACAGGGACCCACAGGAACCCCCCTTCCCCCTAAAAGCTAACAGTGAGGACTAACTTAGATCCATTCATTTCAACAGGTCTACTCTGAGTATGACTGATGTTAAATGCAACAGCAACATTCTATGTATGGTAGAAGCAGTTTAAAAACACATTCTGTGCCCAGAAAACAAATGCCTTCAAATGCAGTGAAAGTGTGTTATATTAGAGATTAGAGAAAGCCTTGAGACTGCTGTTCCGGCTGCTTAGTCACCCTTTAGATCAAAGTTGTGGCTTATTCAGATCTTCATTCTTTGTTGTCTGCTTTTATGGACCCCAGAATATTACAGCAATCCTGAAATGTCTATCCAAAGCTACTCTCTTTGGTTTTAGGAAGGTAGTGGAACCCTGTTGTTGTTGTTAATATTCTAACAAACATTTGATCGTTTCTGATTAGCAGAGCTAATTGGTGCTGTCCAGTGCTGAATATGTGGGATTTCTCTTTTGTGTTATCAGTTGCTGCTTATCTTTCTTTTGTAAAAATGTGACCTGATTGTAAAAATGGGGTCTTGAGTTAGCTCTGATTAGCATTTCCTTTTATTTTTGGCTTTTTGTTTCCAAGACTAATTTTAATTAACAAATTTGATTCTACACTAGCAGAAGCCTTACATGGAACACAGGAAAGCAATTTAGTGATAGCAACCAGCTGAGTATTAAGAGATTCATTTAAGACGATAACCTTTGGGGGCATTCTGCCCATGTGTAAAACCTACCCATGAGCACTGAGAATGGGAAAGAAGGCAGGAATATTTTAAAAAACCAAACTTCATTGAGCATGTAACTGAAGAGAGGATCATGTAATTGACAAAGGGAGTCTGTATCAATAGGAAGCCATCCTGGAGGTCTGCTATATCAAGGTGGGTCTCTGTGACAGAGGCAAAAGCTTTGTTAGCCTGAGAGAAGGACAAACAAAGGAGGAAGGGTTTCTACTCAATGGTAAAATTCACTGAAAGCCTAGTGAGGGTTTAAGGGATTGTTTAAATCCAGGGAAAGTGGTTGTATTTCAAATCTATTATTTTGCTCCAAATATGATGGTTTTCTGTAACTTTCGCACTGAGTATATTTTTTCTTAAAACTGTATTTTTGTCTTAGTAGATTTTAGTTTTTTGTTTCTTAAACCTCTGTGGTTTCATCTTATTGCAAACACCTTCAGGCCTGGATGTCATGTTTGGGGCTTCAGGGAAACCCCAGAGAAGTGTTTAGGCTGATTGACGAAGGACAGGAAGGAAGGAAGGAAGGAAGGAAGGAAGGAAGGAAGGAAGGAAGGGCAGGATTCAGCTAACTAGTCCTGGTAGGGAAAACCCACGCAACAACTTCAGCTACCACTATTGTGATTTCTCTTCTTTCTCCACCCACACATCCCAAAATCGACTCCAATATGGGGTCAGGAGACCATGGGTATTGTTCCATCTGGCAAGCTAAAAAGCTTGTGATGATGGAACAATTTTGAATCCCTCCCAGAGAAAAGAATCATGCCACACTCATATATGTTCAATGGTCGGACTGCAATTAAAGTAGGCAACTGAGTTTCCGTAATTCCAGGCTCTGCAATCTCTCACTGAATGCTGCCTTACAAATTCGTTCGTACTTGCACAATTTAGAAAAAACAAACAAAAGCAAGCTAGTTATTAGCATTCCAAACCATGCAAACCTCAAAACGTCAAATGGCTCCTTTCTAATCTTTTTTCTTGAGAACAGATACAGCACAGAGGGTGCAATCCCAACTTCAAGGGCTTTGAACATTTATGATGTGCTACATAAATGCTATTTCCTAAAATTTATCATTTGTGCCTTTAACATGCCTAGTACGGTCCCTTAGGGAATGATAAAGTCTGTGTTGCAAGCATATTTAAGGATGCTTCCAAACTTCTCCAAATTTCAACCAGACTATTGGCATTCCAAATGACCTGGTTTATTTTCCAAAGTGGTTTAGTTTTGAAAGTGATGTGATGTTATGGTAGTTTAACTCACACCAGCTTGCTTTTCACCAGCTTCTTGTGCATAGGATTTCTCTATTAGACATTATATGACAGCTGGAGTGAAGAACCTTTGACTTTCCAGAAGTTGTTGAACTACAGTTCCCATCAGCACTGGCAAGCACTGCCCATGACCAGGATGATGGGAGTTGTAGTTCAGCAACATCTGGAGAACCAGATGTTCCCCACTCCTGCATTACAGCAATTCTGCAGCCTACTGGAATTGAAGGGAAAGCACTTAGGACAGCCCTTTGAGAAATGAGGATGAAAAATACATTTGGAAAAGTGATGGGGATGAAGTCAACACACACATTTTAATCTTACCATATCACAATGGGCATAAAATGAATGAGCTTTCTCAACAAATCCCATCTATTCCAAATGAATATCTGCCTTGTGCAAAAGAAGAAGAAAAAGAAAAGGGAAGCCGAGCATTGCAGGGATATGATCAAAATGCAAGCGAGGTCATTTAGCCTTGGGCAAAGAGAGGTCTTGATCGTTTTAAAATTCGCAGCTTTTGCAATGCACGTGTGGTGCAGCATCAATTCAAAGCCATGAGGGATATGTAAGCAGAAGGAAATCATATTTGTGTTGCCGCTTCCCAACAGGCTGATGCCGATGTTGTTGTAAATGAATCTTCTTCCTTTGTAGTTTAAGAATTATGAGCTTCAATGCTTGAAACAAAAGCAAACAATCCGGTGATGCATGCACAGGAATTGAGGGTATTAAACAGGCCCCTGAAAGTGTTCAGCATCTCAGAGGACTGGCCCCTGATAAATGAGATACACCCCTAGAAAATTTATGCTTTTATTCTGTAGTGGTGATGTACGGGTGGAATGAAATAGCATGAACTTTGGAGTTTTCATTCAGCAGCCATTCCTGTTTGCAATAGTCTGAAGTCTTCTTGATTAACTTGTGTAAAGACTTCCTTTGTGATTCAGGGAGCAGGGGGTAGTTGTTTCCAGAACACACTGAGGGCTGAATGGATGATTCATCCCTTTTCTTACCAGAGTTTGCCAGCTCACAAAGGTGGACTTGATGGCAACGATGTCTCAGTAGCAGTCAGCAGGACAGAGTGGAGCCTGACCCTCCATCACCAACTTCGCTGCAGCTGACTGGTAGCAGGAACAAGGCAGTTTCCCATGCTAGTGAAAATATGGGGGGGGGGGGGATTCAGCCTGATGCTGAGGAGATTGCTCCATCAGCACAAGTATTCCTGCTTGCCCAATGGAACAACCTATTGGCAAACACCTATTTGGTGTTTCGCAACTTTCTGACTAGTTGCAGGACCTTAGCCAGACCTAGCAGAGTACACACAGAATCCATGGAAGCAATTGGCGACTTGGCTGCAGACAGGATAGACGAAGCAGGAACTAGGA